CCAGTCCAGCTACCATCCTGCCAGACCTCAAACCTGACATCCACCAGGCTGCTAATCCAAGGTCACCCCTGTGAGGGTCAGATTCTGGCCGATCAACTTTCTCTTGGTGCCCAGAGAAAACAGGTCCACTGTCCCCCTTTTTCCTTCCTCTTTTTCTTTCCTTCCTGTTCTCTATTTGAGGGTGCCACAAAAAGGGAGACCTCCTGCACCTGACTAGTGGGAGCAGTTCCTTTCACCGTGCAGGAACTCTCATCTGGATCTGGGAGGCTGACTGCAGGGAGACTTGCCAGCAACTTGTCTCCCAACCCCAGCTGCCTTTCTTACATCTCCCTGCCCCCATGATGGGAATTTTCTCTCAAAAACTCAGGAGACCCTTTGTCAGATGTCTCTTGTATGATCTTTACAGATTGGAATTAAAGGAACAGAATAAACCCCCCAAAATTGATCTTTCTTTTCACTTCGGTGTGACCCCAGTACAGACTCAATAATGGTCACACTGGTCAGCTGAGGGAACTATTGATTTCCAAATTCTCCAACACCTTGATTACTTCTTCCGGAAAATGGCAAATAGTAGTTTCCTATATCCAAACCTCTTACCCTCTGTGAGCAACCTTCCCTCTGTTCTACTCTGTCTTCCGAACTCTTTATGCCCAAATGCCTACTCCTACAAAACTCCTGTCCCCATGCCTGACCTAGCAATATCACACCTGCACCCTCTCTGCCCTCATCTATTCACAAACTCCATCCTCCTGATGACCTTGTCCTATCGCCTCCCTCTTCTACTACCTCAACCAGGCCCACAACCTTCCCAGCCAACAGCCCCTCTCTGCTCTAGTGCTCCCTCTCTTCAGGATCCGTCGGCACACCAGCCCCCTCCTCAAGTCCACCCTTTGCTCCTCCCTTGACATGTTCTCACACTCTTTCTTCTCACTGGACACCTCCCCAGCCTGCTGCTCATCCTACCCTACCCTTGCCCCTCTATGAGGTAGCAGGCTTTGAGGGGCCCATTGGTCTTCACCTTTCTTTTTCAATTACTGGTCCAGAACATTTCCAAGAAGAATGGAGTCCTTCTCAGAAAATTCCAAAAATCCGGGAAAGAATTCCTCCTACTCACCCAAATGTATGCCCGCACCTGGGGAGATGTTTAACTCATCCTCTGGTGCACTCTTACTGTTGACGAAAGGGAGCCTATTTGCCAGGTGGCTGAAAACCCTGCTGATGAGCTCCACCTCTAAACCCCAACTGTACCTATCAACTTGGTGACTCTAGTAGGACAGATTGTGATCATATGATCATTTCCCTCCTGGCAGGAATGGGGAAGAAATAGTAAACAGGTCCACTATGAGCACCTCAGAGAAGTCACCAAGGAGACGGATGAAAATCCAGTCTCTTTGTGAACTGCCTTTCAGAGGCCATGATTAAATATACAAACACCAACCCTAACTCTCCTGGAGGTATAATTCTTCTACATCCCCACTTTATTTCCCAATCTTATCTAGACATCTGCAAAAAGCTCCAAAAATGAGAAAATGGACCACGAACACCACAAAAGGAGCTTATAAACACTGCCTTTAAAGGTTTCAACAACCAAGATGAGGCATGGAGAATTACAAAAGAAAAACAGACTACAGTCAAGTATCAAATCCTGGTCTCCCTAGTTTGACCCTCAGCCAGAAAACCTGCTCAAGGCTCCACCTCACACCCACTTAGCAACTGTTTTCACTGGAGCAGTTCCCTGGGTCCTGAGAAGCAGTGGACTTCATTATAAGCAGAGGTTCTCAGGGAGAACCTTACACAGCAGAAAAACGCAGGCACTCATTTGTAAGACCTCTGCCCCACCCTAGCTACAGTTTCAGACACAATGGAATGGGGCTCCACTCTGCCCTTTAACAAACTTTCCAGGTGACTCTGATGCACACTTATGGTTAAGAATCAGTGATACAAAGTAGGAAGAGTGTTCACATTTTCTTCATTAAATGTCTGGTTGGATCACTTGTTGAGAGGATGTTAAAATCTTAGTACACACGTGGATTTTGCTTTCCTTAAATTAGTTCATTGTTGCTTCATCTATATTGAACTGTTATCAGATTCATAGGCTTTTATATCTTCTTGAATTGACTCTTATATGATTACCTTTTATCTGTGGTGATACTTTTAAACAAATGTTTAATTTCTATTAGGACATGTTTATACTTCATAATGATTTATTGTGGAGAATTGGTACATATACATAGCACACCTTAATTCCTTTTATCATCCTCTTTCCCCCCATCTTTTAGTCCCTTCTCTTTTGCAAAAGATCTATTTCCTATTACTTATCTTTTATTTTGCTCTTAATTATATTTTGAGTTTCTCATAACATTATGGTCTCAAGATGTATTCACTTTCCTACAAATCATTTGAGTTTCTCTTCAATGTAAGAATAGTATTCCACTGTATATAAATAGTACATTTTCTTTATTCATTCACATGTTGATGGACACATAGGCCACTTCCAAAATGTAGCTATGATACATTGTGCTGCTATAGCCGTAGGTATACATATGTCACTGTAATGTAATGTCTTTAACTCTTGCAAAGACACCTAAAAGGGCAATAGTGGAGTCAAATGGAAGTTCTAATTTTAGTTTTTTGAGGAATCTCCATACTGTATGATTTTCATAGTGGTTGTACTAGTTTCCATCTCCACCAACAATGCAGCTGTTTCCCACAGTTTTGCCAGCATTTAAATGTGATTTCTTGATAATAGTCATTTTTTGGAGTAAGATGGAACATGCAATGTTTTAAATTGCATTTCTTGAATAACTACATATGTTAACATTTTTCATGTATTTGAGAAGTATCTATTCACTTCAGTGCTTTTTTTTTTTTCCCTACTATGTAGTGCAGGTGAGCCTTGAACTTGTTTATGTACTTCAGACTGGCCTTGAACTCAAAGAGATCCCGCTGCCTCAACCTTCTGAGTACTGGGATTACAGGCATAAACCACCATACATATTATGTAGCCGAGGCTGGCCTCAAACTCATTCGGATCCTGTCTCAGTGTCCCAAATACTAGGATTACAGGTGTATGTACCAGGGCCAGTTATTTCTGTGGTCTCTTTTGCCACTGATTGCTAGTTTCATTGTACTATGATGTGATAATATAGGTGGGATATTATCAGTTCTTTTGTATTTGTGTCAACATGAGTTATGGGCTAGTATATGATCTATTTCGGACAAAGTTCCATATACAGATAATAAGAATGTGCATTCTGTTCTTGGGTGGAAGATTCTATGGATCTCTATTAAGTTCATATAAGGATTTGGCTCAAATCAGGTATTTCTTTTCACTTTTTTGTCTAGTTCATCTGTTTATTTGTGGCAGTGAGGTACTAAGGGTCTCCATTATAATTGTTTTTATATGGCATCTTATTTCCGGTAGTGTTCATGAGAGTGAGTGTGCTGGTACTGCATGCACATATAACTGTTATCTCATCCTGTTGAATTGTTCCTTTAATTAATATATAGTGATCTTCGTTGCCTCTTCTGATCAGTTTTAGCTTGAAGTCCAGTTTGTTTGGAATAAGATAGACATTCCTGCTTGTTGGTTCCTATTACACGGATTTTTGTCTTCGAGCCTTTGATTATGTATTTATTTTTGTTTTTGAGGCAGGGTATTGCCTTGTTGTTCAGACTGGCTTTGAACTCACTATGTAGCTCAAGCTAGTCTCAAATTCACCTTAATCCTCCTGCCTCAGGCTCCCAAGTGCTGGGATTATAGGCATGTGCCAACATGCCTGATCTCATTCCCTGATTTTTAGACTATGAATTTCTTTTTCAATTAAATTTATTTCTTGTACATGGCATATTGTTAGATGCTTGTTTTATTTTTCTGAGATCATCTCATGGGAGTTAGCACTAAAAACATAGAGGATTTTACATCTAAGTTATAAATGTGAGCTGTCCTGATGAGTCAACTAAAAACACTAAAGCCAAATCATAACATAATTTAAGGAGAGGCCATAGCCTTTAAGTTACAAAATGTGGGTGCAATTTTCTGTGCTGCTCCCAATGTTATCAGCTCAAGTAAAACATATACATTTCATAAACTATCTGTAAAATTCCTTTTTAAAAAAAGCCTCTGTGTGTGTGTGTGTGTGTGTGTGTGTGTGTGTGTGTGTGTGTGTGTGGTGCCAGGAACTGAAAAAAAAAAAGCCTTTATTCTCATTAAATATGTAAAACAAAACACTCCTAAAATAAAAAAGTTGTCAGCCCTCTCGTGTCACGACTCTTCTTTCATCAAAAATCAATCCCAATATCAATTTAAAAACTACACAGGGGGACAAAACTGTCACAACACTGTGATATCCACAAGGTACAGCCTAATTTTGAAAGACAGTTTTGCAGAATATTTCAGTCTGGGTTGGAAGTTGTTTTCTTTTTTAAAAAATGATTTTAGCCAGGGGTTTAGCTCAGCAGTGTAAGTGCCTGCCTGGCAAGCATGAGGTCATGAGTTCAATCCCCAACATCAAAAATAAAAATAAAAATTAATTTTATTCATACTTTTTTTTGAGACAGAGTCTCACTATGCAATTCAGGTTGGCCCTTAACTTACTACGAAGCAGAGCCTGGCCTCAAAACTCACAGCAAGCCTCCTGCCTCAGCCTCCTGAGTGCCGGGTTTACAGGCATGCACCACCAAGGCCAATTTATTCATACTTCTGATATGAATAATAATCACATTCATCATAGGGAATCTGTACCTGTACTTAATATGTCTTGATTCTTCTTTTATTACTTATTTCCCTTTCCTCCCTTCAACCCTTCTTCCCCTATTTACAAAAGCTCTGGTTCCATTTTTTAAATTTTTTTTTCCCTTTGCCCTTCCTTCCCGTATCCCTCCCCCTTTTTGTACCTCTTCTCATGTGAACATTTTCTTCCCACTTCCCAACATCTATCACTCATTTTGGCCCCATTTTGATGTTTTTTGATGTCTCACACAAAAGAAAATATGCAGTATTTAGACACATATATCCAATTTATTTCCCTTAGAAATATGGTATCAGGGGTTGGAGATTTAGCTCAGTGGCATAAGCATCTGCCTGGCAAGTACAGGGTTATGGGTTTGATCCCTGGTACCCATAAAAAAAAAAAAAAAAGAAAGTAGAAATATGGTATCAAGGTGCATCCATTTACCTAAAAATGTCTCAGGTGTACTACTTTATGGCACTGGCACTGCATTGTATACAAAAACCACATTTTCTTTATTCATTCATCAGTTGATGGGGATCTAGACTGTTTCCAAGATTTAGCTACTGCAAACTGTGCTGCTATAATATCTCTGTGGTATGATGCTTGTACTGTAACTCTTTCAAGAAGGGCAATAGCTGGGTCAAATAGAACCTCTAGTGCTAGTTTTTTGAGGAATCTCCATACTGATTTCCTTGGTGATTGTACCTATTTAAACTCCCATCAATAGTGAAGAAGCATTCCTTTTCCCCCAGAGCCTTACCACCTTTTGTTATTGGTTGCTTTCCTGCTGATTTTCATCCTTATAGGAGTGAAATGGGATCTCAGCATTGTGTTTTTTTGTTTGGGTTTTTTGGTACCTGGGATCAAACTCACTACTGCACTTGCAAGGCAGGAACTTCTGCTGCTGAGCTAAATCCTCAGCCCCCACAGCAATGTTTTAATTTGTATCTCTCAAATGAGCAGTGGTGTTAAATATTTTTTCATATATTAATTTGCTGTTTGTACTTCATCTGATACGTGTATTCATTTCAGATGTCCATTTGAGGTTGGGTTTTTACATTTGTGGAGTATAATTTTTTTTTAGTTCTTTATATATTCTAGATAGCCTTTTGAAGAACAGCTGGAAAACATTTTTCCCACTTTGTGGATTGTCTATTCACTCTGTTGGGGGCTTTCTTTTGTTGTGCAAAAGCTTTTTAATATTATGTGATCCCAGTTGTTCCTGGTAATATTTCCTGTGCATTTGGGGTTTTATTCATAAAGTGTTTGCCTACATCTGTGTCTTCAAGAGTTTTACCAATTTTATCTTCCAGCAAGATTGTTTCTGTTTTAATATTTAGATATTTACCTATCTCAGTTTTAGTTTAGTGCATAATGCAAGATATGGGTCTAGGTTTAATCCTCAACATGTAGAAAGCCAGTTTTTCCAGGACCATTTATTAAAGAAGCTATCTTTCTTCCAGTGAAGGTGTTTGGCACTTCTGTCAAAGATATGGTAGCTGAGTGTGCTCAAAGTTGTTTCTGCACTTTCTGTTATGTTCCACTGATCCTTGGGTGCTGGGGATTTTTGCCAACACCATACTATTTTATTGCAATAGCTTTGTAATATGACTTTGAATTGAGATTGTGATGCCCCCTGACTTGCCTTTGTTGCCCAGAATTGCTTTTGCTATTCTAGGTCTCCTGGTTCCATATAAATTTTAGGAGTGGGCCTGGGGATTTAGCTCAGCAGCATAAGTGCCCGCCTTGCAAACATGCAGTCATGAGTTCAATCTCCAGTACCAAAAAATAAATAAATAAATAAAATTTAGGGGGGAAAATGGCGGCTTGCTAGGAAGCTGGACAGAGAACCTTTGTGGAGAAAACAGCTCAGATGCTAGAATTTCACAACATGGAGAGGGCCAAACGATTGGAGAATGATTTTTATTAACCTAGGAGGAAACCAAAGGGAAAAATAAAATTAGGAAGAGGAAGGAAAAGCGCGGGTGGAAGGTTGAAGCCTGACACGCTCACTGAGAACCGTTCCACGCTGTGCTGGGCACGCCCTAGAGTCAGAAGATCCAAAGTCGTGCTGAAGCCACGGCTGCCGATTACAAGAGTCAATGAATCCTGGACCCTTGGTGGGAGGACGCGGCGCATTGTGGAGTGGAGCCAAGGTAGAGAGCTTTATTGGCTCTCGGTGAGTACTAGAAATTGGGTCCTGGGGCCCTGTGGAGCAGCTGGAGCCACCTGGCCAGGCTGGAGGAGGCCACGGAGTTTTCTGGGCCTGGGCACCTGGGCACCAAAGCCAGGTGCCACGCAGTTTTCTGAAGAGGCAGGATGCTGATCTAGCAGTGGAAAAACCACATCAAGCTAGAATCTACATTTGCGGAGGAAGGAAAAATGCTGGAACCCTATGCGCTCACTGAGACTGGTCCGCACTGTGCTGGGAACACCGTGGAGTCAGGCAATTCAAGGTCAAGCTGAAGCTATGGCTGCCGATAACAGGAATTGTTGAGTCCCAGGCCTTGGTGGGACACAGTGCAGTGTGGACTGGAGTCAAGATGGAGAACTGCATTGATTCCCAGTAGTGCTGGGGATTGGGTCCCATGGCTGCTGTTGCTGGCTGGAGGACATCTTGGAGCTGGGCAGAGCCTGGCACCATGGTGGAATCAGTCGGCCACCCCAGGTGCAGAGAGGACTGGTGGGATATGTGGGGGTGAGCTATGTCTCTGGTTGGGACCCAGTATCCAGGGACAAAACTGTCACAACACTGTGATATCCACAAGGTACAGCCTAAGTTGCTAAAGGAACTTGTGGGTCAACTGGCTCAGAGGCTCGAGGATAGCCTGCACCATCCCTGCATCCCTGTGTGTACCTCAGATTACAGCAAATTTGGGAGGGCAGCAAAACCCCAGTCAGCATGCTTTGGAAAGACCCTAAGCAACATGGAGAGGGCCAGAGACTCACAGGACACACCTGTCTGAAAGAAACCAGAAACATGACAAGACAGAAATTAAAAAAAACTCCTCCAGCCACTGACCCTGGGAAAATAAGCCCAGAAGAGGTAAGTACAGAAGAGAACCAGTGCAGCAATCATGCAATATTAGACACAGCATCAGCAGACATAAAGACATACCTTCAAGACCTCACAGATGAATTTAAAACTGTACTTCTGATCCAAGTGAGGCAAGATATAAAAAGATTAATTAAAGAAATGATAAGAACCCTCCCAAGAGAACACAGATGGAAGAACAGAGGAACCCAGAAAAGGAAGAGAAACCTTTGATAAAGAATATAAACAAAATCTAGAATACATGAAACAGATCCAAAGAGATTACCAGGGAATTAAAAACTCCATTGAAAGCTGGAAAAATGCCTTGACAGAAACTAAAGTTAGCCTTTTGAAACTTGAAGACAGATTTATGATGTGTGATCATGAAAGAAAAGATCTCTTAAAAATAATAAGGAACCAGGAAGAAACAATTCAAAGGCTAGAAGACAACAAGAGGATTTAAAACTTAAGAATAAAAAACATGAGCAAAGAAGCAGGAGTAAGCACAATGAATTACAAAGACTATTCACAAATATAATTAAGGAAAACTTCCTAAGCATAGGAAAAAGAAATGATATCCAGTTAAATGAGGCATACAGAACTCCAGCCACCTACAACCAAAACATATAATAATCAAGATCCCAGAAATCCACAAGAACAGAATATTAAAAGCAGCCAGAGAAAAGAAGCAGATTACCTACAAAGGAAAAATTATCAAAATAATGACAGACTTAGCAACACAAACTCTCAAACTGAGAAGAGCCTGGGGGGAAATAGTCCAAGCACTGAAAGAAAATAACCTCCAACCAAGACTGATGTACCCGGGAAAACTCTCTCTCAAAATTAAGGGAGAAACAAGATATTTCCAAAACAAGGAGGAACTGTGGGAGTTCATGGTCACCAACCCAACCATACAAAAATTACTGAAGGACATTCTATAGAGAGAGAGGACAAAATACCAGGATTCCAGCAACAGTAGCAGAGAGGCCTCAATGAACAGGGCAGACAGTGGAATGAGGAGTAAAGTGGACAAATAATAGCAGAAGAATAGAATAGTACAGATGAGGCAGAGAAGGTAAGCAATAATCTTTAATATAGATAGCCTTGATACCCTAACAAAAAAGAAACACAGGCAGAGTAGATTAGGAAGCAGGATCCATTGAGATGCTCTAAATAGGAAATACACTCAACCTGAAAGATGATTAATAAACTGAGAGTCAAAGATGAGAAAACAATGCTATATGTGACAGGAAACCAGAGAGAAATAGGGACAACTCATCCAGCAGCTGCAGATAGACTGGAAAGCTATGACACTTTTGTGCAGGGCAGAATTGCACAGCTGGAAGGAAGGAAACCCTTGTGACTTTAGCAAGTAAAGGAGTACAGCTCAAGATCAAGCACAGGGGTAAAAAGGTTCAGCAACACTCAGATAGATAACAGGCTGGCCCCCTTATCTAAAAACTAAAGGAGCTAGCGGGACCCAAAATATACAAAGCACCCTGAGAAAGGGAAAAGGAAGGAACTGTCTTAAAAAGGAAGACAGAGGACATTGTTAATAGTGTATCAGGATTTAAAAGTCACAGTAGTCTTATTGCTGTTTAGTTTGATTATATTTTGTTCTGGTTTGTCTACTCATAGTAGATTTGAGGGCACAGACAGCTAACCCAAAAATAGCAGGTTAGGAACTTCTGGGAGAACATGGTGGACAAATAACAGCAGCCACGGAGGCTCTCTGAGATTACCAGCTTAGAATCCAGGAGTGGTGCCATGTGAGGAGTCCTAAGCGAGGGGAGATGTACCCTGCCGACCCAGGAACGAACTAACCTGAGAGAAACCAACTGGAAATGCAATCCTGATGCTATAACAGGAACAGATAAAATCTCAGTGCGGAAGCTGGATCCCGCACCATTGGAAGCCACAATTTGAATTTCCTGCTGCCGCTGCTGTGTCCCAGTCGGCACAGCAGGGAGAAAGACTCGCGAAAGCTCTGAGAGCGGGAATCGGCGAACCAAACGGTGTTGAGAGCGGAACTGGCAGGGAGCCCTGCATCGACCTGCAGTGAGTGAGAGAAATGGAGACCCTTTCATAAATTAGGAGACTCTAACAGACGACATTCTGGGACCAGGCAGACTAGCCGGAACAGGGCTCTGCAGTGACTTTAGTCGCATATTCCCCTCTCAAGCGGGATTGGTGGGGAGCACTTGGCCTGGTGACACTGCGGACTAAGAACCAGTAGGTTAGCCCAAATCAGGTCCCTGTGCCTGGCAGTGCACCCTCGCAGTGAAGCCTTCACTAGATTGACCTGGAAGGGCAGGGCCTGGCAGAGGCTGCCCAGGTCTGTGTCTCCCTAATACACTGCAGTGGGCAGGAACACCTAGCTGGCGGATTCAAACAAACTGTAACAGACAAAGAGAGAGAACACTGATCCAGGAAAGGGAAATGCAAAAGAGAATGAAGACAGAAAACATGCAATATTGGACATGGCACCAACAGACATAAAGCGGTATCTCCGGAGCCTCATACATGAATTAAAAAATGAAGTATTTAATGAAATAAAGCAAGAAATAAGTAGAATAGTTAGAGAAATGCTAAGCACCGCCCAAGAAAAAACAGATGGTGGAATGGAAGAACAGAAAAAAAGGGGAAAATTGTTTGATGGAGAAAATAGAGAAAACATAGAATATGTGAAGCAGGTTCAAAGAGATTACCAGGAAACTAAAAACTCTATTGAAAGCTGGCATAACAGCTTGAAAGAAACTAAGGATAGATTATCTGAACCGGAGGACATATTTGTAAGGTGGGAGCATGAAATGAAAAACTTCTTAAAAATAACAAGGAAACAAATAGCAATAATACAAAGGCTAGAAGATGATAAGAGGATCTATAACTTAAGAATTAAGAACATAAAAGAAGAAGTAGGGACTCAAACAAATGAACTACAAAAGCTATTCACAGAAATAATCCAGGAGAATTTCCCTAATTTAGCAAAAGGTAAAGATTCTCAGATGTATGAGGCATACAGGACCCCAGCCACCTACAACCCAAACAGCTACACCCAGGCATATAATAATCAAAATTCCAGAAATCCAATATAAGAACAGAATATTAAAAGCCATCAGAGACAAGAAAGAGATCACTTACAAGGGAACACCCATCAGAATTACAGCAGATTTCTCAGCACAAACTATCAAATCACGAAGAGCATGGGGGGAAATAATTCAAGCTTTGAAAGATAATAACCTCCAGCCAAGATTGACATATCCTGCACAACTGTCCCTAGAGATTGATGGAAAAACAAGGTGCTTCCAGGATAAAGAGGAACTAGGGGAATTTGCAACCACCAATTCAACTCTACAGAGGTTACTGCGGGATATTCTAAAAATGAAAAAGACCAAGATTCCAGAAACAGTGGCAGAGAGGCCACAATGAATGGAGCAGAAAGCAAAATGAAGAAGACAACCTGACAACTAATAACAGAAAAAGAGCTCAGCAGAAATGAGGCAGAGAAGGCTGGACAGTAGGAACAGCCATTTTGGAGAAAACAAGACATCATAATAGGTAGTACTGATTTAATATCCTCTTGTTTTGAAGTCCCATCAAACTTTTGTTCTTCTGTCTCCATCGGTTTTAACCTGTTGTATCTTATTGGATCTTATTGTATGTGATAATATAAACAAAAACTTTTTTAGACAAGATTATACAGAAACCATTGTTCATTTTCTGTTAGTTGATTCTACATACCCTGTAATACTGTCACTCTCTTGAATGGTTTTACATTATCTTGATATGTTTGAAGCTGCTACAGTATATGAAGTTGTACCCAAAGATTTTAAGGAAAGAGACACTATGATAACTACTTTTATGTCGAGATTATCTTGTGCTGAAACACTATTTTGCTTAAATGGCTATGTTTTGACCTGCACTGTTTTGTTGTTATGCCCTCTTTTTTATCTCAATCTCCTTTTTATTATCTACTTTTTCATTTTTATCCTTTTAATTAAGGGAAAAATAAATAAAAAATAGCAGGATATATTATAGTAACCCACATTGATTTCCTATTAACTTGATTTGAAACCCTCTATTGCTCTCACCATCTTGTTTTGACTGATTTTCCTCTATTCTGTTATGCTTGATAGTACAAGTTCGAAAGTATAGGCAAAACTGTGAAGACAATAAGATTCATTATGACGCCCATTCTGATTGACTATTATCTTCTTTTGAAGTCCTGTAATATCTCCAATGTTTTGGTTTTATTGGTCTTGTTCTTTACCCTTTTGTTCAATTTTATATAACTGATGATACAGGCAATTCTTTTTAAGATAACAAGAGACATTATGGTAACCATTGTTGATCACTGTGTATTTTGTTTTTACATTATGTATTATGTCCATCCTTTTGATCTGACTGACTCTGCCCTGTTATGTCACATTTGATTTTACTTTCTTCAAAAAAAAAAAGTAATAAGAACTGTGGGAGTAATAAAATCCAAAATGTGTAATTGTCATTGTACAAAAGAAAGGAAAAGAAAGTGCTCTAAAGGTTATAACTGCATATATATTTAAGTGTATAAGATAGATAACCATATTATGGAGTTTTGTTGGATCATTGAACAAAACTGTTTGCAGTCTCACTGTTTGAAAGTCCCCTCTATATGCTTTAATTTTTTAACTTAAACAACTATTTCTAAGATGACAATATTAACTAGTGATTTCCTACTGTTTGTTTTTTCTGAAATTCTGTATCACTTGTACCCTTTTTCCGTTTTTTTTTTCTTTTTTCTTCTTAAAATTTTAAAAAAATAGCAGGTTATACCACATTAACTATCCTTAATTTCCTATTAACTTAAACTGAAACCCTGTGTTACTTACATTGTCTTACTATGACTGATCTTATTTGAAGCTGGTTTGTTAGACCGCTGTTTTGCCTTG